TTAAAAAAAAAAAAAGAGGAAGAAGAAAGTAAATTCTCCACTTAAATGAAACAAACAAAATTTGCGCGTGCTGCGAATTAGTCAGTCAACTTTTACTTTATGCTAATCAATAAAAAATTTTAGCCTTTAGTTCGGGAGAAACGGAGGGGAAGGAAGGGGAGGGAAATTTTTATTTTCCCTTGTTTGGTTCAAGTTTTTGTAAGGGTGAGGGGTTTGAATTTTCCCTTCAATTCCCTCCTCCAAGGGAAAATGTGCTCCCCTCCAAAAGTGAGGGAATTTGGAGGGAGGGAAAATTTTAACAATAAATTACTCTTTTGACCTTATTGTGAATTTTTTTTTTCTTTTACATCATTAAGGATATATTTGTTATTTTAAGATTATTTTCCCTCCCCTTCCATCTTATAACCAAACAAGATTAATCATTTTCCTTCACCTCCCCTCCTACAAAATTCATTCAAACGAGATAAATTATTTTCCCTCCCTTCCCTTCCCTTCTTTTTCCCTCTCTTCAATTAAATTCCCTCCCTTCCTTTGAACCAAACATACAGAGTACGGTCAGTCGGTGGTATTATCCGTTCCATTGATTATTTTCTTGATGGAAAATTAGGAATTTAGGACTATTTATATTATTTTTTAGCGCAAACCAAAACAGATATTCAAATTCAATGCTATATTATAAAAGAAAAAAAGAAAAAAGAAAAAAAACACGCCCAGTGGGACTCGAACCCACAATCGCTTGATTAGAAGTCAAGCGCCTTATCCATTAGGCCATGGGCGCTCTTGTTACATGTAGTTCCCGTTTTCTAACTTCTACTCAAATATATGTTACAAGTAACGATAGAATGAAGCTGCTTTGAATTTCAACAATATTAGGATCAGTAATACTCCCTACCCACGGAGGGCACGTGTTAATATGTCCACTGTTTATGTATCATGCACACATTGGTGATGTTAATATGTTAAAAAAAATACATCACCAATGTGTGCATGCCACATAAGCGGTGGACATATTAACATGTACCCACCGTGGGTAGGAGAGCATTACTCATATTAAGATTTAGTGAATTCGCATTTATTGAAAGAACTAGTATTAATACCCATGTCAACATGGGTGTTGAGTTAATGAATATATGTGTAAAGTTATTTATATTTAATACCAAACTTAACTCCAGAGCAAAAATAATATAAAAACAACATCACGAAGCATAGATTTTCGCCATGTCAGCATCCGAATCGTGATAATCTGCCACCTAGGCTAAACACGTTTTGAAGGAATTTTCATATGATTTATGAAGTCATTAATCAACAAAATCACCCATATTCTATATGATTTATGAAGTCATTAATCAACAAAATCACCCATATTCTTTTTTAAGTAAAATAATAACATAAGAGAAATATGTTAATACGTGATACATAAATTCAACGACTTCTATTTTCAAGATAAAAATTATTAAACATAAAGTGATGTATAAATTTATTTTAAAGATCGTGGGACATAATTTCACCACATATAATGTATCAAGATCTGTCTCAAATGTACTATGTTCATATTCTAGTATAATTCAAATATTCACTAGCAAAATGAAAGGACTTGGAACAAGATAACTGCAACATTAGTTATCAACGTCTGTTCGAAACATTAAAAATATATAGTAGCTATTAAAATTCAAGATCAAGACTCATTGTAGCAGAAAAAAAAAAAAATATATCGATTTGCAGTCGCGCTTCACCCGAGCCCAAGAAAAGAAAAACGATGAAAGGAAAGGAAAATAAACCGAACGGGTGATTTATCTTCTTAAAAAAAAAAACATATCGTCGTTAGACTTCTCGGTATTAATCTTCGAGCTCGATAATCTTGACAACAGATGCATCTCCGACTTTCTGGCAAACGACGACACGATCGTGGGACTTTATGACACCCGAGGCTTTCCCATGATCGAGCGCAACCTTCAAAACTGACTCGTTTGTCGCGTTTGTAGACTCAGCCTATCAGAATAAGGAAAAAAAGAGTTATGAACAAGAAAGAAAAAAGAAGAAAAAAAAAAAGTAAGAAACAACATTTTAACAAAAAAATGATGGGTAAAAGTTTAGAGGATACAGAAAACTAATAATTCTTATTTTAAGATTACAATTTTCGGGTTCTTGTTAGAGGTACAAGGCTAAAATGCAATTTTTGTCTTGTTACATTATGAAGATAGTTTGGAATTAGATATAGCATTTTAAGCTTTGTGATTTAATATTTTGCTGCAATTTCAGTCCTGCAACAAAATTCCCCAATTTATATATTTGAGATGAATTTTTTATTAGTAATTTAAGTCCTATAATTTAATATTATTGCAACAAAATATTAAATTAAAGGACTTAAAATGATATATGTCACTCTAGTGGAACTTAAATTGTTGCTTTTATAATTTAACAAGACCAAAATTGCAGAGGTATAAATTACCTTTTTGGATATTTCAAGAAGCCCAATTTTTTTTTTTATTTTTTTAGGACTGAAATTGGAACAAAATATTAAAAACATGACTCAAAAAGCCCCATGTCTTCTTTATTTTTAGGACTGATTGCAACAAAATATTAAATTACAGGATTTAAAATTCTATATGTCACTCCCGTGGAACCTAAATTGCTACCTTCATAATTTAAGAAGACTAAAATTGCATTTTAGCCGAGATACAAATACCTATCTGGATATTTCAAAAAGCCCCATGCCTTCTTTATTTTGGTATATAAGTCTCTCTCAAGTGTTCTCTTTTATTCGTTTTGCCCCGTTTTTTACATTTATACTGCAAATGCCATATGTCGAAAAATAAAAAATAAAATAACTTACAGGATGACGAGGATCAGCAAGCAAGGGGAACAGCCCACGTACTATAAGCGATTGTCTCGCCTGTAAAAAAAAGTTAGGCAAAAAAGTTACTACCACATAGAATCCAGTAATGCAGTATCAACGATGACAGCAAAATTCTCGAAGCAATTCAATCAATAAATAACCCTGAATCTACAGAAGATACACTTTCAATATTCATGCAATGCACTAAAAGAAATTAAAATAGAATTAAACTTTACGGTATGATATAATCTTTGATCAAGGGTTACGCGTTTACCTCAAATGCACCACTGAAACTCCACTTCAGTTGATTGGTCTTCAATCGAGGGATCACAACAGATAAAACGGGCATTGTTGGCCTATATTTTGCTATCAATCTGGACCAAAGAGAGGAGTGATTTAACTCGTGTTAAAATCAGTATATTTGAATAAATATATTAGACTATAAGACGAAGAAAAGAAAATGAGAAAAATAGTATGAAACCTTGCTGCTCTCCCGGACGATGTAAAGCATATGATAACGGAAGCCTTCACTTTAAGGGCAGCACGAACCTAATGTTAAAAATGAAGAAAATGTTAGTGTAAGTGCAATAGATTGTTTTCTTTGCTTTTATTATTATTATTATTATTATTTGGAGCATACCGCGGAGGAAGCAATAGATTCCAAGTGGGTCATGGGTTCTCCGACAAATTTCACCGTTTTCTTAAAGTATTGGTCTTGATTGAAGACCTTCTCTGCCTGTGAAATTTATTTTAATTTAAACACATTTTTCAAATATTAACTACGGTTAACAAAAAAAACAATCAAATCCATATTCAGTCACACCCTTAGCAGTTCCGTGTGAAAACATCTCAAATACACTTGAAAAACGAAATAAGCAAATGATCATTCGTTGTACAACAAAGAAAAGGATATCTAAAACATATCTCCAGTTAGTATAAGATCATATAAGAACCAATTAAAGTTTACATTAGGCAAACAATATGAATAACTAACCTCGGCACAAATTTTGCCAACAGTGGAAATAGTTTCAACAGGGTACAATCCACGTAAGGTCTCAGCACCAAGAAGAATTGCATCACATCCTGAAAAATGTACAACATGAAAAATATAACCCGTGATTGATAGATTTAACCAATAAGAACTAAAAAGTAGAAAGGCAAAACCATCAACATTATATCCACAACAGAGATTATAAATCAAGTACTAAACACTAATGACAATTACTAACAACAAAAAGGGGAAGTATAATATTAGCGCAAGTTGATTACTAAATTACTAATGACAATTACTAACCATCTAAAACGGCATTAGCAACATCAGTTGCCTCAGCACGAGTAGGCCTGAGATTATCTGTCATACTATCGACCACACGAGTCACCACAGCTGGCTTCCCTGCCATGTTACATTTGTAAACAGCAGATTTCTGAAACAAAAACACCTGCAAATGCGGGAAAAAAAAAAGTTTGTCGAGATTTACTCTAAACGGTTAGGTACAAAAAATAGTTATAACACAACACCTTCTCAGGTGGAAGATCAATGCCAAGGTTCCCACGTGATAGAATGATGCCATCTGCCTCCTGAAGGATCTCATCAAAGTGGGTCAACCCCTGCAGAAAAAATGTTGACCTTTTCAGTTCAGACAAATGTTGATAAGTTTATGAACTACGAAAATATAAGAATATAAGATTCACCTCGACGTTTTCGATTTTAGCAAAGATTTGAGTCTGGCTTAGATCACCAAGCTTGGATAGAAAATCACGCGCCTGCAAGGGTGTGTTTGTTTATAAATTATCTCTATTCATACTCAAAATCTAACTCAATTTTAATTCAACTCCACTATCTTCAATATTATCAATATAATTAAATAACACCAAACCATTATTATTACACATCACATCAATTTTAATTTACTATTCATCCAATCACACAATTTTAACTAACCATCAACTTCACATTATCTCTCTCCTACTTTAATCAACTTTAATTATTTTATTTTAAATATTATTTTAATATAAACTCAAATCACACTAACAACAAATTATACCAATTTTTTTTTTTAAATTAACCATGGTTAACAAAAAAAATCTCATTTTGAACGGATATATTTGTATCCAAGCACGCCCTAAGTGTCTTATCAACCACATGACTTGAAAATCATAACAAAAGCACATTCGCAATATTAAGGATTACCTCACGAACATCCTCCGCGTGACGTGTGTAGGACAATGACAGAAAATCAATTTTGTTCTGGACACCCCATGAGCTGATAGCCTGATAGCATCAAAATAATGCACTTTAGTAAATTCAAATTGTAGTTCATGCTCCATTTTTATTGTTCGTTGCCATAGCATTTAGTAAATTCAAGAAAGGCAATTCTAGGAGATAGTTACTTTCCCATAGATCAACAAGTTTCACAATTACGAAACCACAAAAATTGGATAAAGGCAATATTTGTGCTTGCACAACACCAAATCTTCTTCGTAAAATAAATAACACAAAAGGGCAAACATAATATGCACCACTCACCTGCTTGTCCTGATCAGTTAGTGTGGGCAAGTCGATATGAATTTGAGAAGCATGCAAAGTGAACAAAGCTCCAGCCAAGGTTGCAGAATTCTTGATAGCACAAACCACATCATCACCTTTCACTTCAATTACCTGCCCGCAAAACCACCTTTAACAAAGAACTCAAAAAACAACTTTTTACTTAGAATTGGTTGTTCAAAGACGAGGGCCACAAAATCCAGTCAGCATGCCCCCAGGTTTTATTCTATCTAAGTAAGGTCACAGCACCAAATTTGCACGATAAGGACACAAAATTTACATAATTCCAACAGTGACACAAAGAACATTTCTCAACTCACAAACATCGCAAAAGTTGTTATAAACTACCGTGAATAGACAATAAATCAAATTCAAAATAACTCCACATACCTCAAGCCAAACAGAAGTTGTTTCGCTTCCAGTGAATAAGTACTGTCCAACAAAAATGGTGTCTCCCTTCTTTACAGCCTGCAAACACATGTTACTAGATTAGATAGCATCTCACTATCTCAGCAAAAGTAACATAGCTAGAACATTAGGCAATGTCCAAAATTCAGAGAAAAAAAACTGCAAGCCAACTGCAGATAGAAACCTTAGCCAGCCCAGCAAAGTTGATCGGCAAAACTTCGGAAGATGCTTCTTGACCTTGATCAGGCGTCAGAATAACATTGTCATCTGCCTTGAGGGTTATAGCCTTCTCACTTTTATTAACAACTTGCATTTCAGCACCCACAGTGTCGAGCATAACCTGAAGACAAATCAAAACAACTAAGGTATATATGATAATTACACTTATCAGCATAACACAAATGCCAAAACAGTTCTAATCGCACAGTTACAGGGAAATGAAGAATCAACACTTCTAATCAAATCAATATATACTTACGGCACAGAGTTTCTTACTGCTCTTAATAGCAGTCTTCAAATTCTCCAAAGTCTCTTGGTGATACTCAGCATCACCCCACGAAAAATCAAATCTTGCCACTGCCCGTCAAACAGAAGAACAAAATAAAATGCAAAACTCGACGAAAATCAAAAGAAGAAACTAAGCCCACAAACAGAAAAGGAAAAAAAAGAAACAAATAATTACCAGACATTCCAGCTTTAAGGCAAGATGAAATAACCTCAACGGATCGCGAGCGCGGGCCGAGAGTCCCTACAATCTTCGTCATAGCAGGGAAGAAACTCTGCGCCCAAAAGCCCGAATAAACAAAACCAAATCAAAAACCCATATTACGTGAAAAACAAAAAACAGATCTACACAAACTCACAAACTTTCACCAAATTGATTTAAAAAAAAATAGACAAAAATCTCACAGCTTTGGATGGCTCAAGAATGGTGGCCATCCGGATTGGTTCCTCGAGTAGCAGATGACTCGAATGCATTTTTTCTGGGGTTTGAGTACAATTTCGTTTTCCGGCGTGAATAAATGAACCTCGAGCGTGAATAGGTGATTACGAAAAGCAGAACAAAAATTGTTGGGTGATTGATTTTATGCTCTTCTTGTGGTTTCTGGTTCGATACCCTTTTCTGAACAGATCAAAAAAAATGGAAAAGAATGTGAGAAAGACGGAAAAACAAGTGCTCAATTGAGAGTGGTGAAAATGGCCTCACTTCTTTTTGTTTTCTGGTCTGATTTATTAGGTTATGGAGCAAATTACGTGTGCAGTTTTGAAGGGGTTTGGGTTTCTTTTTCCCAAAGAAATCTTTTTTTTTTTATTTTCTGTTACGAAACCACCGTCAAGTTCGTAATCGTTAAATCAACTATCTCCGATGGTTACATGATGATTTAACAATTTCAAATTCTAACATAATGATTATGTAACGGGACCATAATATTTTCCTTCTTTTTATATTTTGGACTTTGTGTAGAGGTGTAAATTAATTGAATTTGAACTAATATTGAGCTCATGGGGTAAACGAGCTCCAGCTCGACTCTCGTGTGTAAGTTTTTATAGCTCCGAGCTGAACTAATGAGTTCAAGCTCGATTTGTTTGTCAATATTAATGAGATTGAACTATAATGAAGTTACATAATAAAATTTATTAACAAATTAAACTGGCGAGTGACTTGTTTTGCGCCATAACTTTGCTTCAAAATACTATTACTCCATAAAATACATGACTTATTAAATAATTAATCTATAATACTCTTTATGTTGACATATATCGGTGTTTTTAGCCAGTGTAATAGTTTTATGATATTTAAAAAAAAAAAAGACAGACATTTTATTATAGAATCAGATGTTTTGATTGATAAATGTGATGATTTTAGCTACAATATATAGTTATCTTAAAATTTTTACCTATATATTAATATACTTTACATTCGTGATAATATTTATTTTCTCTCATAATTAATTTTATAATAATTTACCTATTTAAATATTTAATATCTACACCCTAGAATAACAATACCAATAACAAGAATAATATTGTGTCAATTGTCAATATTGTGCTGTGAAAAAATGTCCACATTGACCTTGACCGTTGAACATCCCCCATTTTTGACTTTTTCCTCTTAAAGTTCAAAATTACCGCAATAATTCACGCTTTTACCGTGTGTCAATTTTACCTGAATAGTTTTTTGTTAAAAGTTTAAAACTGTGGGCCAAATCGAGTGGCGGGTAAATCAGTTGGTGCCTAATGCATGCACTTCATTTCATTTTATTTTTTTTTTCACTGCAAATGTTTGATATGTACATATTCATTGATTATATATAATTAACCATATATATATTCATTGTATACATATATATATTCATATTACACAGGACATTAACCATATGTTTTAAATTAATAGGAACATACAAAGATAATATCATTGGTCTTTTAGAATAGTGATGTAGAACGTGAATATGAAAGGTAAAATACGCGAGAGTAGATACTCTCCTGTGAAAAATTCACAATATTAGACAAAATTTCTCAAATTCATTCATCGATCGATTTGTTGATTTGACAAATAATATATAGAGTCCTACTGGTCCTAGTCCTAATTTGCCTAACAAGCTGCATAATATTTTTTTTACTTACCCTAATAATTAACTAACCAAAGAAATAAAATAGGAAGAATAATGCTAAGAAATAAATAAATTAAATCCAGAGTCGATCATATTTATTGAGGAACACGAGGACGATCTCATATTCATGATGAAATGAAGTGGCCAAATGAGTTGCATTGCTATAGTCCACATGTTACAATATCCCATTGAACATCACCAAATGAATGATTCTTATATCATTAGCCCAAAACAAATACATGCAAATTAGTGGTTTGCATTCTACTTGAAAGTTATGTGAAGTGTGTGTTATGTTAGCCATAAATATAAAAATGATTGAAAATATCCACATGTGATGATATGAAATATGATACACCTCTGAAAATAAAGTATTTAATAATGGGTATCTATAATGGACTCATCGTGACTTTAAGGCCTATACCGTGGTCCATTATA